AGAGGCCGGCGGGCACCAGCTCTGCCGCACGGAGGCCGCCGGGCACCAGCTCTGCCCGGCACAGAGGCCGGCGGGCACCAGCTCCGCTCCGCACGGAGGCCGGCGGGCACCAGCTCCGCCCGGCACGGAGGCCGGCGGGCACCAGCTCCGCCCGGCACGGAGGCCGCCGGGCACCAGCTCCGCCCGGCACGGAGGCCGCCGGGCACCAGCTCCGCCCGGCACGGAGGCCGCCGGGCACCAGCTCCGCCCGGCACGGAGGCCGCCGGGCACCAGCTCCGCCCGGCACGGAGGCCGCCGGGCACCAGCTCCGCCCGGCACGGAGGCCGGCGGGCACCAGCTCTGCCGCACGGAGGCCGCCGGGCACCAGCTCTGCCGCACGGAGGCCGCCGGGCACCAGCTCTGCCGCACGGAGGCCGGCGGGCACCAGCTCTGCTGCACGGAGGCCGCCGGGCACCAGCTCTGCCGCACGGAGGCCGCCGGGCACCAGCTCCGCCCGGCATGGAGGCCGGCGGGCACCAGCTCCGCCCGGCACAGAGGCGGCGGGCACCAGCTCCGCCCGGCACAGAGGCCGCCGGGCACCAGCTCTGCCGCACGGAGGCCGCCGGGCACCAGCTCTGCCGCACGGAGGCCGCCGGGCACCAGCTCCGCCCGGCACAGAGGCCGGCGGGCACCAGCTCCGCCCGGCACGGAGGCCGCCGGGCACCAGCTCTGCCGCACGGAGGCCGCCGGGCACCAGCTCCGCCCGGCACAGAGGCCGGCGGGCACCAGCTCCGCCCGGCACGGAGGCCGCCGGGCACCAGCTCCGCCCGGCACGGAGGCCGGCGGGCACCAGCTCCGCCCGGCACGGAGGCCGCCGGGCACCAGCTCCGCCCGGCACGGAGGCCGGCGGGCACCAGCTCCGCCGCACAGAGGCGGCGGGCACCAGCTCCGCCGCACGGAGGCCGCCGGGCACCAGCTCCGCCCGGCACGGAGGCCGGCGGGCACCAGCTCCGCCCGGCACAGAGGCCGCCGGGCACCAGCTCCGCCCCACAGAGGCCGGCGGGCACCAGCTCCGCCCGGCACGGAAGCCGGCGGGCACCAGCTCTGCCCCGCAGAGGCCGGCGGGAAGCGACCTCCCGCATCCTCCTCGCCCCGAACACGCCCGAATCCCGTTCACACAGGAGACTCCGCGGGGCCCGGGATCCATTAATATTCTAGCTCCGCGGTCGGCACACTATCCGCCCACGGAGCCAGATGCCAACAGCTCCGCGACGGACATGTCTCGGGAGAGCCACACTGTTTAAATTAAACGCCTTCTAGCACCGCTTCTTCAACACAGACTCGCCCAGGCCGTGGCATTCTGTGGAAGAGCCACACTCACGGGGCCAAAGGGCCGCATGTGGGCTAGTGGACGGAGGCGACCCTGAGGCTGCCTGTCACTTCCTCGCGTGGTTCCCGCCACGGCCATGAGATCCACGGTCGGACACGGTTCTGTGTGGATGGGATTTATTGCCGGCCCCCAGCCCTCCAGAACCGTATTTATTTAAAACACGTTTTTATTGATGTTAGAGAGGAAGGGCGAGGGAGAAGAGAAACATCGATGACCAGAGAGTCATTGACCGGCTGCCTCCTGCACGCCCCCTCCTGGGGATCGAGCCTGGCCGGAGCTGAACCCTGCTCCCTTCTGTCCACGGGGACGCTCTATCCACTGAGCCACCCAGATGGGGCTCTCGGGAAGCTTCAGAACACAGCCTTCCCCCCACGTCCCCACGTTGGCTGGGGGCCGCCCGGCTGCCCCACACAGGGGTGTGCAGGCCCCCCGGGAGGGAGCACCACCGGTCCCTGTGAACGAAATTCCGCAGCCGGTGTCCCCGCTGTGGGCCGGAGAGTGAGGCTCCCACCGCATCGCGACCCTCGGTGACACCCCAGCCACCGGGTGGAGAGCAAAGAGCACAGGCAGCGCGGTCCCACCGCACCCGCAGCCACGGCGCCCGCAGCCACAGTACCTGCAGCCACGGCGCCCGCAGCCACGGCGCCCGCAGCCACAGTACCTGCAGCCACGGCGCCCGCAGCCACGCCCGGGCCGCCCTGCTATCCTGACGTCCAGGGGAGGAGGGTGGCCCACACCCCGTTCCCAGCCCCGTGGCAGCGGTCTCGGGGCCGGAGGAGAAAACTTCCCCTTTCTCCCGCGCCCATCGCTGCCAAGCCGCCCCTGCCCCGAGCCAGCCGCTGCCCCCAGATGTGCCCGCAGATGGAGACGGAGTCGCCTCTGAAGGAAAGCCACCGGCCCCTGCCTCCGCCCTCCCCGCTCCTCCTGGCAATTCTTCCCAATCCCAGAAAAATGACAGGGCTGTCTCTATAGCAACGAGCCTAATTGGCAGCGGCCTGCAGGCCTCTCTCCGGCCGGAGGGTGGCGCCTCCCGCCTGGAGCAGGGCCGGAGCCCGCTGGGCTGGAAGAAGGACGGCCTTTCACCGCCAAGAACAGGAAACCAGGCCAGGACCTAATCCGGTTTCCTCCGGCGGCCAGGACAGCACCGCGGCGGCCACCGGGTCCCGGGAGGAGGATGTGTCCCTGATTAACCGGATACCGTGTGTCTGCTCTGTAACGGGCCGGGCGCCCGCAGCCAGGCCGATGGCAGCTAACGGAACCGTTTACCAGCCCGGATGCCAACGCCTCTTCCCCACCCCGAGGCCGGGAGGGAGGACGGACCCGCAGGGCCGCGGGCACTGCGCCGGCGGCATCTCCTTGGCCTTTCCCAGTCTTAACACAAGAATAAAAAACGAGAGAGCGAGAGAGAGAGAGAGAGAGCGAGAGAGAGAGAGAGAGAGAGCGAGAGAGAGAGAGAGCGAGAGAGCGAGAGAGCGAGAGAGCGAGAGAGCGAGAGAGCGAGAGAGAGAGAGAGCGAGAGAGAGAGAGAGAGAGCGAGAGAGAGAGCGAGAGAGAGAGAGAGAGAGAGCGAGAGAGAGAGCGAGAGAGAGCGAGAGAGAGAGCGAGAGAGCGAGAGAGAGAGAGAGAGAGAGAGAGCGAGAGAGAGAGCGAGAGCGAGAGAGAGAGCGAGAGAGAGAGAGCGCGAGAGAGAGCGAGAGAGAGCGAGAGAGAGCGAGAGAGAGAGAGAGAGAGAGAGAGCGAGAGAGAGAGCGAGAGAGAGCGAGAGAGAGAGAGAGAGAGAGCGAGAGAGAGCGAGAGAGAGAGAGAGAGAGAGAGAGAGCGAGAGAGAGCGAGAGAGAGAGAGAGAGAGCGAGAGAGAGCGAGCGTGTTTCCTCTCCAGGCTGCTGTTCACACCAAGCTGTGAACTAGGCTGGAGCCTTGTTGTGTCTCAGGGAACCGTGTTCGGTGCCCACGTGCATGGCGGGTGTGCGGGCTGTTACGGAGCAGACACAGCGCCCGGCCAGGGAGACGCCACGCTGCGGACCGAGCTCCCTCCAGGGGTGACGCCTGCTGCCCAGGTGCCGGTGGGGGACCCACTCCAGACCCGGAGGCTCCGGAAGGCCGCTGAGCGGGAGGGGGGGCCTGGCCGCAGGGGTCCTCACCGGAGCCGCCCGCAGGCCCGCGTGGCTCTGAGCCCTGGCTCCAGCGGCGTGGCCGGACCCTGTGGGTGTCGGGTGGGTTTTGGGGTGGGTTCTGGGCTGGGTTCCGGGAGGGGTGGAGCGGCAGGTCCCCCAGGCTGAGGAGGGGGGAGCAGGGAGCCCCGGCCGGGCAGGGGTGTTTGTGCGCTGAGCTGTGGGGTGTCCCAGCCACGCGGCCGGGGGTCTGCCCTGAACAAGGACCAGCAGCTGCTCCTTCCCGCGAGGCCTGCTCCCCGCCGGCTCCAGCTGCCCTCGCCTCCAGGCAGGGCCCCAAGGACGCGGCCGCGCCAGGGCTGCCAGGAACGGCGCCAGGGGCTCCGGATGCTCGGTCCGCCCCCAAACCTGCTGAGTGCACCCCTCCAGCAAGGCCACCCGAAGGACCTCAAACGCATCTCTTCCCACAGCGAGTTCGCCTGCCTGAGCCCTCTCCCCTGAGCAGGGGACCAGCCGAGCCAGGCGCGCCGGCGGGCGGGCGCGCACTCGCTCGAACCCCAGACCGGCTCCTGGCGTTCGGCCCGGGAAGGAGCGTTTTCCCAGGGGCACACTGTGCCCCCCCTGGCGTGGCGGTGCCGCCTGGCATTCCCGGTCACAGCCCAGGGAGGCCGCCTTCTGCTCCGGGACCCTCCCCGCGGTGCCAGCCGAGGCAGGGAGACCGCGGCCTGGCTGGACCCGGCAGGAGGCCTCCCGCCCTGGCCCCGTCCCCCAGGTCCGGGCTGAGGGCTGGTGTCCAGAACCGGGAGGCAGGGACCCCCCTGGGCCCCCACAGTCTCCCTGGGGAGAAGGGGGGGTTCGTGCAGGAAGTGGCCACGCCGGGCTGGGCTGTCAGGTGGTGGCTGGGGATTTTAAACAATTTTTAAAGAATCCACGTCTCCCGACCGCTGCCCCGCTGGTCCAGGACGCTGTCCCCCGCGCCCAGCCGCTTCCCGCGGAGACAGGCACCCGGACCCGGGGCCAGGCCGGCCCGTGCCCAGCGGGTGACCCTCCCATCGCCCCCACCCCCACCCCCACCCCTGCGCCCCGCTCTGACCCCCGCTTCTCCCGGACGCACCCAGCGATGGAGAGTGCGGGGTCCCCAGCCCATGAGCCCGCCGCTGGTCAGACCCGGGGGACCGCTCCCGGCGCCGCCCCCGTCCCCCGCCCCCCGGAGGCAGGGCCCCGTCCCCCGAGTCCCTCCCGCCTGGCGCCGCGTCCCCGCTCCCGGACAGGCGGGAGGGCAGCGGCGCGGCTCTGCGGCCCGGCCCGGGGCGCCCGATGAGAGCTCCGCGCGGATCGGGGCCGGGCCGGGTGGGGGACCCGGGGCGGGGAGGGGGGACCCGGGGCGGGGAGGGGGGCCCGGGGCGGGGAGGGGGGACCCGGGGCGGGGGTGGGGGGCCCGGGGCGGGGAGGGGGGACCCGGGGCGGGGAGGGGGGACCCGGGGCCGGGGATGGGGCCCGGGGAAGGGGCCGGTACTCACTGCAGAAGGCCACCAGCAGCCCGGCCAGCAGCACCAGCGCCCACAGCGAGGAGGCCAGGCCGGGCAGCGCGGCCGCCTCCCGCCGGGGCCTGCGGGGCCGGGGCGCCATGGGGCCGGCGTCTCAGCGGCCGGGCCTGCCCGCGCCCCCGCGGCCACCACGTGCGGGCCCCGCGCGCGCCATCCGCCTCCTCCGCCTCCGGGTCCTCCTCCGCCTCCTCCTCCTCCGCCTCCGGGTCCTTCGCTTCCTCCTCCTCCTCCTCCTCCTCCTCCTCCGCTGCCGCCTCCGCGGCCTCCCGGGCTCCCGCCCCGGCCCCGCGCTCCCCGCTCCCCGCTCCGGGGCTCGGGCTCCGGCGTCGCTGAGCGGCGGGCTGGGCGCGCGGCTGCCGGTGCGGGGAGCGCGCCCTGTGCGCGTGTCCGGCCGCGAGGGGCGCTGGGGGCGGGGGCTGGAGGAGGGGGAGGAGGAGGCAGAGGGAGGAGGAGGCAGAGGGGGAGGAGGCAGGGGAAGGGGAGGAGGATGCGGGGGAGGGAGGGGAGGGGAGGGGAGGGGAGGAGAGGGGAAGGGATGTGGGGACATGGTGCCCTGGCCGCGCCTCTGGGTGGCGACAGAGATGCCCCCCTCCCCCCCTCCCGCCTGGGCACCCCACAGGGGGCTGGCCAGAGGCAGGAAGTTTGTGGACTTGGCTGCAGGCCCTGAGGCTACCCTCCTGCCCAGGCCCGGCCTGCGAGGCCTGGACCCCAGGTGGCACCTGGGGTGGAGGTACCCGAGTGACCCTAAGTCCAGGCTGCGGGGCCTTTCCCCGGGGACACCCCGGCGCCTCCCTTAGCTGTGCAGGAGCCCCCAGGCCCGTGGGGAGCACACGGGGTCGCACAGAGTCCCCGCAGGTGGCACCCACAAGGGCAGCACCCACGAGGGCCAGGCACCAGCAGCAAAGCCTCTGCTCTGCTTGGCCTCTGAGCGGCCCCTCACCACCCCCGCCAGGCTGGCCGCGGTCCCCAGGCCGGTCCAGGCTGCCCTGAGCAGCGGGTCTCTGACAGGAGGACATCCACCGCCTCCCTGACCAGCTCTGCAAACCCGCTCCTCCTCCGGCCCGGACAGGCCCGGGCGGAGATGGTGGTGTGGTTAGGGCGGTGCCCCCCCTCCTGCCTCTATGGGCCCCAGAAGACCCCGGGGAGCGGGAGCCCCTTCCCAGGAGCCAGAGAGGCCTGAGGGTGGACGGTGTCAGGGAGGAGCGAGAACACACACACACACACACACACAGCATACATATGCCATTCACACACATGTGTGCACCCCCACACACCTGTGCGCACATACACATCACACAACATACTTATGCCGCTCATAAATATGTACACACCATGCACATCCATCACACCCTACACATATACATACATACACACATCCTATAAACACACCACACACCCTACACATGCACACACCCTACACAAGCACACCACACCCCTATGCACTCACCACACATGCTGTGTACACACACAGGCTGCATGCACATACACAGGCTGCACACACACACAGGCTGCACACACACAGACTGCATGCACACATACAGGCTGCACACACACAGGCTGCATGCACACACACAGGCTGCACACACACACAGGCTGCACACACACAGACTGCATGCACACACACAGGCTGCACACACACAGACTGCACACACACACAGGCTGCACACACACAGACTGCATGCACACACACAAGATGCACACACACATAGGCTGCATGCACACACACAAGCTGCATGTACACACAGGCTGCGTGCACACACACACACACACAGAGGCTTCACACACAGACCACATGCTGCACGCACACACGGGCTGCACGCACACAGAGACCGCACTCTGCACGCACACCCCTGCAGGCTGGGGCCGAGGCGCAGGCTGGCGGCCAGCAGGGCCCCCGCCGCAGCACGCTGGCGAGAGGCTGGTTTTTCATGAACGTTCTATTTCTGTCTAATTAACGCGCGCTCCCTCCCGTCGCCCTGGCTGGCGGGGACTGCAGGCCAGGGAGAGCCTCAGGGCAGGGCAGGGCCGGGGTGCTGGCGGGACCCCCAGGCCCAGGACCTCTCCCTCCGCTTTGATCCCCTTCCATCTGCTGAAGCTCAGGCCTGACACCCCACGCTCCTCCGATGCTCAGATCCTCCAGGCGCTCTGATCCGCAGACCGCCCCTCGTTCACCTACTGGGCGCCAGTGTGGGCAGGAGCAGCACACGCTCTCCGGCCCGGGAACGAGCAGGTGGGGGGCGAGGAGGAAATGGGGAGACACAGCCAGTGCGCCCGTGCCCAGTGGTGGGGTGGGGTGGGGAGTATTTGGCTCCGGGTAAGATTGGGGTGCACAGCATACACACGAGGGTTGCAGGAACCTCCCAGGGGAGTGGCTGTCACGTGTTGGGGGGACCCGAGGACACAGGACTGGAATGCTAGCCCCCACCCCTCGCGCTCCCGCTCCTGCTCACTCTTCCCCAGGAGCCCTGTCCCCTGAGTGTGCGCGGGGCCTGCCCCCAGGCCGTCTCGCTGGCCTTGGGGAGGGGTTGTGGAGGGTCCAGGGTGGGGGACGGGAGGGACACGGTGCTCAGGGAGCATCCCGGAGCCCAGACCCCGAGGCCGGACTGGAGGTGGTGCTGGGCCCTCAGGGCGGCCGGGACCACAGGGGCGGGGTTGGTGGAGTGGGCGGGCTTGTGGGGTCCAGCAGGAGGGGGTCCCTGGAGGGACGGGAAGAGGGGTCTGGAGGAACCACCTGACGGTGCCTGTTGCAGGCGCCCGGTGTCAGAGGTCACGGGGTTGGGGGGTGTTGTAGGGGTAGGGATGGGGTTCAGACCCCGGTGTCAGAGGTCACGGGGGTTGGGGGCGGTTGTAGGGGTAGGGATGGGGTTTGGACCCAGGGGTCAGAGGTCACGGGGTTGGGGGGGGTGTCGGGGTAGGGGTGGGGTTCGGACCCCGGGGTCAGAGGTCACAGGGTTGGGGGGGTTGTCGGGGTAGGGGTGGGGTTCGGACCCCGGGGTCAGAGGTCACGGGGTTGGGGGGGGTGTCGGGGTAGGGGTAGGGGTTCGGACCCCGGGGTCAGAGGTCACGGGGTTGGGGGGTGGTTGTAGGGGTAGGGATGGGGTTCTGACCCCGGTGTCAGAGGTTGAGGGGGGCCTCTGGCTATCTTGCTGAGACTGGATCCAGCCTGCGGGGTCACAGGTGGCCTGGAGGAGATGCAGGAGCAGCTGAAGGCGGAGCCGGGTGGGCACAGGTGGCCTGGGAGGAGGCAGGAGCAGAGGCTGCTGGGGAGAAGCTGGGTGCTGGCTGCTCGCCCTGCGGACTGAGCCTCCTGCAGAGACAGGGAGGGAAAGAGCCGGGCCTCGTACCCCGAACCCAGGAGGGCGCAGAGGAGAGGAGTGGGACCGGGAGCAGGACCGGCCTCCGGATGGACAAGGGGCCTCCGGGCGAGGGGTCTCCTCCCTAAGACCAACCAGGCTGGGCCGAGGTGAGGGCGGCTGATGGCTTGGGAGCCGGGCCGAGAGGGAAGAAAATGGGGGGGGGGAGGCGGGGGGAGCAGAGCACTGGGCTTCGTTGCTAGGAGACGGGAAGCCGAGTGGCCACGTGTTGTTGACGGGCTGGTTCTGACATGGGGCCAGGACGACAGACTGGATTCTGCAGCCGGGGACGTGAAGTGCACCCCCTTCTCTGTGCACCCCCTTCTCTGTGCACCCCCTCTCTCCGTGCCCAGGGAGCAGGGGAGGGGCCCGGTGTCCCCCACCTGACAGCAGGCCTGGCAGTGAGACCTGGCGCTCTGAGGGGCTCCGGGGACCTCCAGGAATGCGGGTGGGGGTGGGGGGGAGGCCCAGGCCTCTCTGGGCCGGACTCCTAGCTTACCCTCCTCAGGACACAGCGTGCACTGCCCTACTCAGCCTTCATTTATTTGTTTGTAATGTATTTTATTGGTTTCAGAGGAAGAGAGACAGAAACATCAGTGACAGAGAGAATCGTGGATCGGCTGCCCCTGCACCCCTCCTACTGGGCAGGTGCCCTGCCGGGACCGAGCCCTGACCTCCTGGTTCCTAGGCCGAGTGTTTCTATGTTTCACTTTTTCTTTTCACTTATTTTCATCTTTATTGTTGGGCCCCCTCCCCCCTCGGCTCCCTCCAGCCACCCCCACCCTGTTAGTTTTTCTTTTAAACGTTCAGCAATGAGCACGCTTGAGGGCCGCTAGCAGGGTGGCCTAAGGCCATGGAAAACACAGGTATTTACGTGCCGATTCCTAACAGCAGCACAATCACGGCTGTGAAGCAGCCGCGGCGATGGCTCTCGGGCTGGTGGCCACCACGGGAGGAGCGTGTTAAAGGGCGCGGCGTCAGCAGGCCAGAGCCCCGGCCTGCCTCCTCTCCGTCCCAGAGACTTGTAAAAAGGAATCAGAAAGCTAGAATCGTTAGGCCCCATAAGGACCCGCGTGAGGGCCTCGCTGAGGTGGCCACGTGGATTTCTAAACACGTGAGGTTTCCTTCAGGTCTCGGCGGAGCGGGTGCTGGGCCCGGGCCTGCCCCTCGCCGTGCGGCCACACGCGTGCTCGGCGCTGCCGTGTGCGTGCTCCGGCCACGAGGTGGCCGAGCTGGTGGAAATGGCACCGCGGCGTCTGTGGATCCGTGACCTTCGGCACGTCCCCTCCCGGCGTGCGTGTCTTCGTCTGTGGTTGCCGAGAACTCGTCATCGGGGGCTAATTCCTTCCGTGTTTTTGAAACGAGGGACGCGGACGGGTGGGAGCAGACAGCAGAGCGGTCTTTCCGGGCGCGGACTGAAAGACAGGGACAGGATGAGCCCCGTCGGTGAGGGCCCCTCTCCTCCCCCTCCTCCCACCCCTGCCCACTCCCCCCCTCCGCCCTGGTGCCCACTCTGCCATCGCACCCGCAGCGTCTGCTCTTGCCCTCCGTGTGCACTGGCCCCGCCTCCGCCCGCTCGTCTCCGGCCGTGGCCCTGAGGCCGTGTGAGGCCCCCGTGCTGCTGCTTCTCCTGCTGGGACGTGGCCAGGGCATGGACGCAGCCGCTGGTCCGGGTTCCACCTCCTGGTGGGCACCTGGGTGCTCACGGAGGAAGCTGCCGGAACACACAGGCGTGAGTTTTGTG